CCGGCCAAATTTTTTTTTGTAGAGACAGGGTCTTGCTATGTTTCCCAGGCTGGAGTACAGTGGCACGATCATAGCTCACTGGAGCCTCGAACTCCTGGCCTCAAGTGATCCTCTTCCCTCAGCCTCCCAAAGCAGTGGGATTGTAGGCATGTGCCACTCTGGCCAGAATGGATGAGGGGAGACTACTTAAGAGGGCATTGCTTAGTGTCATTAGTGAGCACACATCCCAGAGTAATCTTCATATAGCCCACAAGGGAATGAGCATGAAGTTGTTCACTGTGGTATTGTTTGTGGTAGCCAGTAGGCAACTTACAGGCCCATCATAAGTAAAATGCGGGTGCCCACTTTGAAATATTGCATGGTTTCTGTAAGCCATAGGTGATGTGTGCACATGACGACAGGTCTTGAAAGTACAGGGCTGAGGCCGGGCACGGTGGTTCATGCCTGTAATCCCAGCACTTTGGGAGGCTGAGGTAGGTGGATCGCCTGAGGTCAGGAGTTTGAGACCAGCTTGGCAACATGGTGAAAACCTGTCTCCACTAAAAATACAAAAAATTAGCCCAGCATGGTGGCACACACCTGTAATCTCAGCTACTTGGGAGGCTGAGGCAGGAGAATTTCTTGAACCCCGAAAAGCAGAGGTTGGCATGAGCCGAGATTGCGTCATTGCACTCCAGCTTGGGAGACAAGAGCGAAACTCCATCTAAGAAAAAAAAAAAAAAAAAAGAAAAAGAAAAAAGAACACACAAGGCTGAGTAGAAAAAGAAATACAGCCGGGCGCGGTGGCTCAAGCCTGTAATCCCAGCACTTTGGGAGGCCGAGGCGGGTGGATCACGAGGTCAAGAGATCGAGACCATCCTGGTCAACATGGTGAAACCCCGTCTCTACTAAAAAATACAAAAAAATTAGCTGGGCATGGTGGCGTGTGCCTGTAATCCCAGCTACTCAGGAGGCTGAGGCAGGAGAATTGCCTGAGCCCAGGAGGCGGAGGTTGCGGTGAGCCGAGATCACGCCATTGCACTCCAGCCTGGGTAAGGAGAGTGAAACTCTGTCTCAAAAAAAAAAAAAAAAAAAAAAAGCCGGGCGCGGTGGCTCAAGCCTGTAATCCCAGCGCTTTGGGAGGCCGAGGCGGGTGGATCACGAGGACAAGAGATCGAGACCATCCTGGTCAACAAGGTGAAACCCCGTCTCTACTAAAAATACAAAAAATTAGCTGGGCATGGTGGTGTGTGCCTGTAATCCCAGCTACTCAGGAGGCTGAGGCAGGAGAATTGCCTGAACCCAGGAGGCGGAGGTTGCGGTGAGCCGAGATTGCGCCATTGCACTCCAGCCTGGGTAACAAGAGCGAAACTCCGTCTCAAAAAAAAAAAAAAAAAGAAATACAATGAGGTTGATAGCACAATACCATTAGATTGAAAATACACATACACACTAAACAACTCATGTTTTACTAGGACATTCCCACGCATTTGGCCAAGGCAGGAGGAGAGGAGGCAAGGGTTAAAAGGACATAAATATATAAAACAATGCTGGGCGAGGTGGCTCACACCTGTAATTCCAGAACCTTGGGAGGCCAAGGTGGGAGGATCACTTGAGGTCAGGAGTTTAAGACCAGCCTGGCCAACATGGTGAAACCCATATCTACCAAAAATTCAAAAATTAGCCAGGCATGGTGGTGCTTGCCTAATCCCAGCTACTCAGGAGGCTGAGGCACAAGAATGCTTGAACCCCGGAGGCAGAGGTAGCAGTAAGCTGAAATTGCGCCACTGTACTCCAGCCTGAGTGACAGCGTGAGACTCTGTCTCAAAAAAATTTAAAAATGATAAATAAATAGGGAGGCCATGCAGAGCCCAATGACGAAGTACGTCATTAAGTAGAAATAAATAATTCAACCTTGGCAACAGCAATTAAAAAACAGAAAGCCGGCCGGGCGTGATGGCTCACCCCTGTAATCCCAGCACTTTGGGAGGCTGAGGTGGGCAGATCACCTGAGGTCAGGAGTTCGAAACCAGTCTGGCCAACGTGGCAAAACTCCATCTCTACTAAAAATACAAAAATTAGCTGGGTGCGGTGGTGGATGCCTGTAATCCCAGCTACTCGGGAGACTGAGACAGGAGAATAACTTGAACCCAGGAGGCAGAGGTTGCAGTGAATCGAAATGGCGCCATTGCACTCCAGCCTGGGAACAAGAGCAAGACTTTGTCTCACACACACACACACACACACACACACACACACACACACACACCTGAAAGCCTTGGCTGGGCGCAGTGGCTCACACCTGTAATCCCAGCACTTTAGGAGGCCAAGGCAGGCGGATCACGAGGTCAAGAGACCGAGACCATCCTAGCCGGTCTCATGCCACTGCACTCCAGCCTGTTTGACAGAAAGAGACTCGGTCTCAAAACAGAATAAAAACAAAAACCCAGAAAGCCTTTGCAGTTGTTTAGGCAAGGTGTCTCTCTCTTGGCCTAGGGTAGTTATGGTGGAGATGAAAACTAGATGGATTGTGTTATATGAATGAATATGTGTCAAGGACTTTGAACAGTGCCTGGTGCATAGCAAGTATCCAGTAAATGTGTTTCTATATTGCAGACATGTGGTGGATTGAATGAGGGAGGGAGGGAAAGGGTGATGTCAGGCATAACCCCCAGGTGCTGGCTCCAGACATTGTATGAGTAGGAGGTGAGAAATGAAAACTGAGTCTGAGCAAGATGGAGCTCAGAGCAGATGGGGCTTAGAGCAGTAAAAAAGAAAAAGAAAACTGAGTCTAGATCATTCTTTTGAGAAATAAGGATGTGGGGAAGACAGAGCAATTCCTTACATGTGGACATCACTCTAAAACACATTGTAAAAAGTTAATAAATACATGTTTATTGTAGAAAATCAGATATTAACAAATTTTTAAAACAGGGCAGAGCGAATAAAATTTAAAAAACAATTGTGAGCCCCAAATCTCTCCTGATCAGTGACTAGGGTTGTTTTATTTATTTATTTTTGAGACAGAGTCTTGCTCTGTCCCTAGGCTGGAGTGCAGTGACACGATCTCAGCTCACTGCAACCTCTGCCTCCTGGGTTGAAGCAATTTTCCTGCCTCGGCCTTCTGAGTAGCTGGGACTACAGGCATGCACCAACATGCCCAGCTAATTTTTGTACTTTTTTTTTAGTAGAGATGGGGTTTCACCATGTTGGCCAGGACAGTCTCCATCTCCTGACCTCGTGATCCACCTGCCTCGGCCTCCCAGAGTGCCGGGATTACAGGTGTGAGCCACCGTGCCCGGTTGGAGTTTCGATCTTTGTTGCCCAAACTGGAGTCTAGTGGTGTGATCTTGGCTCACTTCGACCTTTGCCTCCCGGGTTCAAGTGAATCTCCTGGCTCAGCCTCCCGAGTAGCTGGGATTACAGGCACTTACCACCACACTCAGCTAATTTTTGTATTTTTAGTAGAGATGGGGTTTCACCATGTTGGCCAGGCTCGTTTTGAATTCCTGACCTCAGGTGATCTGCCCACCTCATCCTCCCAAAGTGCTGGGATTACAGGTGTGAACCACCATGCCCGGTATAGGGTTAATTTTTTTAAATTTATTTTATTTTTTGAGACAGAGTCTTGCTCTGTCACCCAGACTGGAGTGCAGTGCTGCAATATTGTGTCACCGCAACCTCCGCCTCCCAATTCAGGTGATTCTCCTGCCTCAGCTTCCTGAGTAGCTGGGATTATAGGTGTGCACCACTACACCTGGCTAATTTTTGTTTTTGTATGTGTTTTTTTTTTTTTTTGAGACAGAATCTTGCCCTGTCGCCCAGGCTGAAGTGCAGTGGCAGGATCTCAGCTCACTGCAACCTTCGCCTCCTGAGTTCAAGCAATTCTTCTCCCTCAGCCTCCCGAGTAGTTGGACTACAGGTGAGCGCCACCATGCCCAGCTAATTTTTGTATTTTTAGTGAAGACAGGATTTCACCATATTGGCCAGGCTGGTCTCCAACTCCTGGCCTTGTGATCTACCCGCTTCGGCCTCCCAAAGTGCTGGGATTACAGGCGTGAGCCACCGCTACAGGTGTGGGCCACCGCAGCAGGCCTACGGATGACATTTAACAATCAGGAGAAAGAGCTCCTGAGATCTTTACAAATGCAAAAATTTGTGAAATTCCTCAAAGCATAACTTTCATAAAATGCAGTAAGTTGAACTGAAGCTGGGTGGATGGACGTGTTATTCACTGACCTAGAGCACACAGAAAAAAATGCCAAGTGTGATGGAAGAAAATGAGGCATTAATTTTGGGGTTAAAATAGTTCCAGTGCTAATGCCTGAGATTCTCTAATAAACAGAAAAATACTGACTGGGCTGAGTTCAGTGGCTCATGGCTGTAATCCCAGCACGTTGGGAGGCTGAGGCAGGAGGATCACTTGAGCCCAGGAACTCAAGAACAGCCCAGGCAACATAGCAAGACCCCTATCTCTACAAAGAAAATTTTTTTTAAATTAGCAGAATGTGCTGGTGTACGCTTGTAGTCCTAGCTACTCAGGAGCCCTGGTGGCACCATTGCACTCCAACCTGGAAAACAGAGCGAGACCCTGTCTCAAAGAGAAAAAAAGAAAAAAACATGCTGATGTCCAGGCACTGTGCTACGTCCTAAGAATACACAGGTGAACAAAAGATGATCCCAATCTCATAGGACTTGCAAGTCCATCAAATAATCAACAAATAAATATATAATTACAGACCTCTAAAGCGTTAAGAAATTGTGATACTATGATGGCCTTCGATAAATACCACTGAGGCTACACGTCCATTGCACTTCCATATCCTTAATACTTTTCTAAGAAGACTCCTGAAAATTTCGATTTCTTAGAGATCTACTTGTTTTTAATTAATTTTTTTAACAACAGACTTTATTTTTTAGGGCAGTTTTAGGTTCGCAGCAAAATTGAGCAGAAAGTAGTTTCCATATTACCATATTTCCTGCGCCCACCCTCCTCCAGCAAGCAACAATCTGCTCGCTTTCAAGCTGTTTTTGTTTTATTTTTTGCATTTTGTTTAAAACAGAGTCTGGAGGAATGGGAGAAAACGCTGAAAACGCACCCGCACTCTGGTAGGTTGAATTAGGGTCCCGCCGAGAGCCGCAGAGGTATGCCAAGTAAAAACTACATTTCCCAAGGGGCAGCGCGTCACGTCACAGAGGAACAACTGCGCATGCGTACACGGTCCTCGCGCGACTACGCTCACAAAAGGCAAAAAAGCGTGTCCGGTTCTCGACCTGCCGCCAATCTTCGAACGGAGGTCCGTGACCATTCACAGACTCCGAAAAAGCGTTCGAGGAACGCGCCTGCTCCCCACGTCAGTTTCCAGCCCGACGAACTTGTTTTGTCCGAGACTCGGTAGGTGGGGACCGGCCTTGGCCAGGGCCCTCCGGCGAAGCGCCAGAGCTAAGGGGTATGTCCTCCCTTTGCGCCGAGGTTCCCGGCCTCCCTGAGGCGGCGCTCGAGGCGCGGTGCGCACGCGCTCTGGGTGGGAGGGGGCGGGGCTGGGGGGGCGGGCCCTGCGCCCGGCCACTCGAAGTCTGCGCGTGCGCACTTCCATCCCGGGTGAGGGTGGGAAACTGCGGCACGCCGGGCTTGACAGGGACGCGGCCCCCAGGTGGCATACTCTGCCCCGGGTCACGAAGATGCGGACAGAGGCTGGGCGCCGAACTCCAGCACTTATTATTTGCACACAAAAAAATCTTTTTTTGTTTAAGATACATTTGCCCAGGCTGGTCTCTAAGTCGTGGGCTTAGCCTCCCGCCTCGCCCTCCCAAGGTGTGGGGAGTATAGGCGTGAGTCCCCGCGCCCGGACAAAAAATGCCCGTCTTAAGATCAGCAAAACAACCTACTCTCCCTATCCTCCAGTTACCTTCTCGGCTCGGGTTTGCAGCCAGAGGCCTCAGTCTACCTTCACTAGTGCCTTTCCTCCTCCAGGTCTTGAACCCTTGAGCCTATAGTCAGGCTTTGGTCTCCACCACTTCACTAAAACAGTTCCTTGTCGCCGGGAGCGGTGGCTCACGCCTGTAATCCTAACACTTTGGGAGGCCGAGGTGGGTGGATCACCTAAGGTCAGGAGTTTGAGTGCAGCCTGGCAAAACCCCATTTCTACCAAAAATACAAAAATTAGCCGGGCATGTTGCTGTGTGCCTATAATCCCAGCTACTTGGGAGGCTGAGGCACGAGAATCGCTTGAACCCGAGAGGTGGAGGGTGCAGTGAGCTGAGATGGTGCCATTGCACTCCAGCCTGGGTGACAGTGAGACTCCGTTTCAAAAAAAAAAACAAAAATACAAAAGCAAAAACAAACAGCTCTTTGTCAGAGCCATCGGTGATCTCTAGGTGGCCAAATTCATTGTTAAGTTAGGTCTCAGTCCTGTAGCAGCATTTGATACTGTTGATCACTGCTCCTTGAAATGCTGTCTTCATTTGGCTCTCTGAACATTCTCTTCCTTTGCCTCTGGCGTCTCACCTGCTGATTCTTCCCTAGGCATTATCAATCTCACTTGTTTTTTCTTAGAGGCAGGTTCTCTGTTGCTCAGACTGGAGAGCCAGTGGTGCTGTCACAGCTCACTGCAGCCTCTTGCAGCCTCGAACTTCTGGGTTTAAGCAGTCCTCCTAACCAAAGCCTCCCCAAATGCTGGAATTACAGGCGTGAGCCACCACAGCCAGCCCCAGTTTCACATTTTAAATGTAAATACTGGCCCGGCGCAGTGGCGCATGCCCATAATCCTAGCACTTTGGGAGGCCGAGGCGGGCAGATTGCCTGAGGTCAGGGGTTTGAGACCAGCCTGATCAACGTGGCGAAATCCAGTCTCTTCTAAAAATACAATAACAGCAAAAATTAGCCGGGCATGGTGGTGTGTGCCTGTAATCCCAGCTACTCGGGAGGCTGAGGCACAAGAATCGCTTGAACTCAGGAGGTAGAGGTTACAATGAGCCAAAATTGTGCCACTGCACTCCAGCCTGGGTGACAGAGCAAGACCTTGTCTCAAAAGAGTCCTAGAGGTGGAAGAAAATCCACGTATAAGTGGACCTGCACAATTAAAACCTATGTTGTTCAAGGGTCAACTGTATAGATGTATTGAACTGTATAGTTGTATAGATGTATTGAGATTTATTGTGATGGATTGGGTCATACCATTATAGAGGCTGAAAAGTCCCAAGATTTGCCATCTGCAAGCTGGAAGCCCAGGAAAGCAAACCCTCTGGAACTCACAGATATACTCAGAAGTGTTACCACCAGCTAGATAGGCATCCTCTAGCCCAGGCGTCCCCAGACTTTTTACACAGGGGGCCAGTTCACTGTCCCTCAGACCGTTGGAGGGCCGCCACATACTGTGCTCCTCTCACTAACCACCAATGAAAGAGATGCCCCTTCCTGAAGTGCGGCGGGGGGCCGGATAAATGGCCTCAGGGGGCGGGCCGTAGTTTGGGGACACCTGCTCTAGCCCAATCAGGTTGACACATAAAGTTAACCATCACATTTCCCTAACATTTCTCAGTTGCCCCAATCATCATTTTACTGGTAATACTTTGACAAGTGTTATAATAATAGCTAATGGTGAATTGGCAGTTTACAAGAGACCAAAAGCTTCCGCTTCCATGATCTTTTACTGTTGAATATGGTGAATTTGTAACAAAACTTGGAATTCAGAGGAGGCGCATAGGTTTTGGAATTTGCAGCCTTGGAGCCCCAGCTCAATTTTTTCCTGAGTTCCCTGCATAACCTATCTGAACTGCAGTTTCCCCACTCTACTTACCATTCTGATATCAATTTTTTTTGTTGTTTTTTGTTTTTCTAACACCGCTCCTTGTGTACTGATATCTATTTTATAGGATTGCTGTAAGGTTTAAATGAGAAACACCAGCATAAGTTGCCATACAGAGGCATGGAGGAAAAAAATCGTCGTCTTAATGTCTCTAACTAAGTGATGAATATAGATTCTGTTTATTTATTTTTGAGATGGAGTCTTGCTCTGTCGCCCAGGCTGGAGTGCAGTGGTGCGATCCCAGCTCACTGCAACCTCCGCCTCCTGGGTTCAAACAATTCTCCTGCCTCAGCCTCCTGAGTAGCTGGGATTACAAGCATGCATCACCATGCTTGGCTAATTTTTATATTTTTAGTAGAGATGGGGTTTCATCATGTTGGCCAGGCTGGTCTCAAACTCCTGACTTCAAACGATCTGCCCACCTTGTCCTCCCAAAGAGCTGGTATTACAGGTGTGAGTCACCGTGCCTAGCCTCTATTTATTTATTTATTTATTTATATTTTTTTTAGAAACAAAGTCTTACTCTGTCACCCAGGCTGGAGTGTAGTGGTGCAATAATAGCTCATTGTATTCTCAAACTCCTGGACTCAAGTGATCCTCCTGCCACAGCCTCCTGAGTAGCTAGGACTATACATGTTCACCACCATGCCAGGCTAATTATTTTATTTTGTTTTTGTAGAGACAGGGCCTCCCTGTGTTACCCAGGATAGTCCCAAACTCCTGACCTCAAGTGATCCTCCCATTTTGGCCACCCAAAGTGCTGGGATGATAGGCATGAGCCACTGTACCCGGTTTTCAGATTCTTATTGCCAGTGACTGGTTTGAGAGGGTGAGATCTGAGTGTAGGTTATTAGGTTCCTCCTTCCCTTTGAGCCAGAACCTTAATCCTCTGTAGGATTAATCTTAGAGTGGCTTATGTTTAGGATATTTGGATTTGTTTGAGGCCTTTGTTGTTATTATAGTAAAAGGGCCAGCAATTTTAGGTGGGATTAGTGGTTAACATACGCTTCTACCCTGCAGTTCTTCTTATTAATCAAGCTACTCAGTTGCAGCAGGTAACAGAAAACTAACCCCGACTAGCCTAAGCATGAAAGGGGTGTTTGTTGACTCTGTGATATTGTAAATATATATCTGGTCTGTGTTCCAGTTTGGAATGCTTATGGAGCTTCCTGGAGGGCGGTCTGCCCAGGGAGGACATGAAAGCTCTTCGATTCTTCCTCTGTGCTTTGCCCTGTGTGCCTCTTCCTTCATTTGTATCCACTGTGACGTCTTTTATAATAAACCAGTAAACCTAAGTGTTTCTCTGAGTGCTGAGAGCTGCTCTTGTAAATTCATGGAACCCAAGGAGGTAGTCACGGAAACCCTGATTTATAAAAGTCAGTTGGTCAGAAGCACAATTAAAGTAACCAGGGCTTGTGACTGGCATCAAGAGTTGGGGGGACATGCTTGTGGACTGAGTCCCCAGCCTGTGGGGTTTGACACCGTGTCTGGGTGGAGAGTGTTGGAAATAAACTGAATTAGAGGTTATCCAGCATATATCCACTGTAGATTCGATGGATTGATTGTTGTTGGGGAGAAATCCCTACATATTTGGCCACAGAAATCTTAGATATTGATTGATTGCGCATTGTGACAGCAGATGAGAAACCATTTGTATTTTTTCCTCACAGACTCCAGCTGAAGAGGCCTGGAGTAAACCAGCTTCAGATGGGACTCTATCCAGAAGCCTAAATTATGTCACCAGTTTTTGGTTGTTTTTTTTTTTTGTAGAGACAGGGTCTTGAACTCCCAGCCTCAAGAGATCCTCTTGTCTCAGCCTCCTGAAAGCTGGGACTGCAGGAGCCCACCACCACACCTGGGTACTTTTTATTTTTGGTAGAGATAGAGCCTTGCTGTGGTGACCAGGCTGGTCTCAAACTCCTGGGCTCAAGCAGTCCTCTGTCTTCCACTTCCCAAGGTGTTGGGATTACAGGCGTGAGCAACTGTGACCCGCCTGTTTAATGGTTTTGTTAAATGCCTCTCGAGGTGTTAAAAAGCCCATCATGGAAAGAAGATAGCCCCAGAGGAGGGGTTCCAAATTCTTCATGTAAAAGTCTTCCCCAAACACCCAAATGTCCATCAACAGATGAATAGGTTAAAAAACTGAGATCTATTCATACAATGGAACGTTATTTAACCATGAAAAGGCATGAAGTAGGCCAGGCACCGTGGCTCACACCTGTAATCCCAGCACTTTGTGAGGCTGATGTGGGCGGATCACGAGGTCAGGAGTTCGAGACCAGTGTAACCAACATGGAGAAACCCGTCTCTACTAAAAATGCAAAAGTTAGCTGGGCGTGGTGGTGTGTGCCTGTAATCCCAGCCACTCGGGAAGCTGGGGCAGGAGGATCGACTGAGCTGAAGAAGTCAAGGCTGCAATGAGCTGTGATTGTACCACTTCTCTCCAGCCTGGGCAATAGGGGTGAGACCCTGTCTCAAATAGATAGATACACGGAAACATAGATAGATACATTGATAGGGTATTGTATGCCATTCAAATTATTTCCATTAAGCTGTTTTTGTTGTTGTTTTTAAGCTTTTTTTTTTTTTTTTTTTGAGACAGTCTCACTCTGTCACCCAGACTGGAGTGCAGTGATGCGATC